TTGGACCAGGTCCAAAGTACATTCTTCAAGAGCAACTTTCTAAAGAGAACCTGGATTGATATTGTGAGCAGTTTATGATTAAACTATTCCCTTCTTTTGTTCACAGTGTTTCAGTGGATTCATCATTTTTAAGTACTTGTAAGATTACCCTCGGACCTAAGCAGCCTTTACTTGGATATTACAATCAGAACCAAGTTTGTTAAGCTAAAAAAACATATAAATTACGTAATATTGGCTTTTGGTCATTCTAATATTATGCAAGCCCATCGAAGTGTGAAATCGAAGTAGTTTAAAGATAATATCAATTGTCATATCCTGCCTAAAAATGCTGTTTCTGGTGCCAATTTAAGATGCCTTTGTGAATCTGATGCAGCTTCCTAGAGTTCAACAGTGTCACACAATGTTAGAGTAATATCAGACATCCTTTGTTAAGTGAGCTTATTCTCATCTGTGTCTTCATCGAGAATATGATGACAGGATCCTTCCTGAATGCAGCAAGTGTTTAAATGCAATGATGACACCTCCGGTTATAAATGCTGCTATTGTGCAACAGGCTGTAAAGTAACTACTGTGGGACTTTGATTTCAGCATATTTGAGTCATCATGTCTGCAATTGCTTGGTATTTATGACAGGCTCTGCAGTCAAAATGAAAGTAATTTGACCTGTTCTACTTCCTCACTGTCAGCTAATATTAAAGGTGGAATAGGTAATTTTGGAGAAACCAGCTCGAGTGCGCTAGAATTTGAAAATACACAGCCGGAAGAAATCTGCTACTTCCTTATAGAGCCCCTCCTCCAACACACACGAACGTGCACATGACCAATGAGGGCACGAGATAAGTTTGTGCACAGATGGAAGGCTGACAGGCAGGTAGGCCATCCAGTTATTTTAGCCGGGCCGGCTAAAATGATTGGTTGTGCTTTTTACAGTACTACGGCTTCCACAGATGACATTTTTTTATGGATTTTTTGTCAAAGCACTTAAGATATTCATTGCTATCGGGATGTTAAGAGCATTCCATGGAATATAACAAAAAGTGTATCTCGAGCCGGTTTCTCAAACGTACCTACCCCACCTTTAAATGAGTGCAATATAAATGTATTTATTTGTGATAAAATATGAAGATCAAACACTCTAGGAGGAGGACTCTGGTGTGCAGAGCTCTTTTTATTACTTAGTTATGACTCCTTCGGCTTTCGTTATCTGTATTGATCAACAGTAAAGTTATATTAAACTGTTTATGCTGTTCTCAAATAATATAATTCAAATATGACTCTTAAATTATGACAAAATGTTTCAGTAGATATTAATCACAGATGAGGGTTTCTATTAATAATGAAACAGCAAATACATGACTTGTCACAATAACATTCATCAAGTATCAAGAATTCATGATGGCAAAAATATTTACAAATAATCAAGATATGTGTATGTTAATATTATTATATAAGATCTTGGAGGGAATCTTTGGTTTTTGATTGGTGTTTTAGGGAAATTGAGAAGCATTTCAGTCATGGCATGAATTCATTGATTTATCTTAACATTACTTGCATCTGTTTATCACCTGATATGAGTTTTGGATTTCCTTTGGTGTGGCCTTTCTCATCTGCCGACTTATGTAAAGAAATAGTTTCCGGCCACAGAAGTAACACCAACCGGATGTGTTCACTTCATCTCACATACCTTCACCCCGCCTCCTTGTCCATACATGGTTATCATGTTGTCACTCTACAGTAGGAATGTTTCTGTGACAAGTCTTTCCAGCTCGTAAAGTTCGAAACAACTCCTGCAACAAATCTCCCCTTGAAGGTTCACCTTATGTCAAGGGTTATTGCAATATTGAAATGCAATTGGCTGGCATTTTTGGTATTACTATTTTAGGCATCATTAAATAATACGTTTACATTTGAAGATGATGAATCCTTTAATGACATGATGTGAAAAAGCTACATCTGATTAATTAAATACTAAAAACTTTTCAGCTGGGCTCTTATAATAATAATATTAATACTTTGTCAATTTATTACGCACCTCAGAATCACCAGAACAAGAACACGTCATTTATTCCGGGGGGAAATAACATTGTTTGACTGTTGCACCATTTTCGAAATATTTATATAAACATAAGAAGTTGAAGGAAAAATGTGCAATGAGGATCATTGTAGCTACTTAAACACGGCATCAGTGTCTCAGTGACTTGATTAATATAAAACAAGAGCAGTGATATATCATACACTGATGCTTGTTATATCATGAAGAGTCATTAGCTTAGCTATGCATCCATTAGGCATGAATAGTACACTTATATTTAGAAAAATGAATAGGGATGTTGTTGTTATCTATAAGTAATGGGCGTGTCAGATAAGATGATAGTGGTGACTTTTTTTATAGACTTACACAATGTTTGTTCATGTAATACCCTGCATTGTTAAGGCCCAGTTCTTCCCTTGAAATTGGATTTTTCTTTTTCACTTTCAAATTTTCTCTGCATTATCCCACAAGAGCCCCAAATGCTCAGAAGACTTGTCCCCTGATCTGTGTTGCTATGGAGTCCCTGGCAGCCTTCGTGTAGGCTTGGCTGTAAACATTTCAGGGTTGTTGTACATGGTTTGCTGCAGGTGCCAGCAGTTTCTTTCTTACCTTCGCAGCTAAGTATAATCTCCAAGTTGACTTGGCTTAACCTTATTTTCCCCATCACTTTTTGTTCAGTCATATTTCAGCAAGTTCAATGAAGCCACTTAAGGACTCTTTTTAACACATAGGCTTTTCTTTTGCTTCATTTCTGCTTGACGGGATTCCACATGACAATACCACTAACCTGTTGAGCCAGTTGAAGTACAGAAAAGGGTCAGGGAGCACAGTAAACAAGACAGGGAGAGGGAAAGAGGTAGGTTGAGTGGAGGAGGGGGACAGAAGGGGAGTTAATTCAGTCACTCAGCCAAAAAACCAGTGCCACGCCCCAGGTGCCAGGGCTAGTAAGAGCAAGCAGCAGGAATGTGAGGGAAATGAATGGGAGTGTAAGTCCTGCCATTCACATGGTGAGTGCTTTCTTTTTTTACCTTTAGCCGGCACTACTTATCATATAAACATAGCACTATGTATGTTTAGGGTATAAAGAGCACACATATTTAGTGTTTGGTTAAAAAAATATGCTTTGGTGCAGGATTTCTAATGTGAAACGTGTGTTTTAAGTGTATGTAATGTGGTTTATTTAGTATTTTTCTGTTAATTAATGACAGTGAAAGCTTTGTGAAGCTTTTAATGAGGGGTTGCCACTTTTTTTATTAAGTTGATTGTCATCAAATAGCATGGATAGACCTAATCAAAACGAACACATGTGCATGGTCAAGCTTTAATCTGTTATGATGATAATCACAGAAGGACAGAAAATGTAAGGTTTTCCTCAGTGGTCTGCACAACATGGCTTGAGTCTAAAGTTAAAATCAAAACATCACGTGATGCAGAGTTTGTTCAGTTTATTTCCCAGCAAAAAGGACTGACTTTTTTACGTCTCCTGTGTGAAAGGGACAGTGTTTTGTCACGTGTAAATAAAGAATTGCACTTGGGAAACAAATATGCCGCAAAAATATTTTTTTTTCAGTCTTAAAAACGTCAAGGGACTGTGGAAACACTTTGAACAGGCCAGCCAGTGATTCAAGACCACTGCTCCGAGAGAAGAGTACATATTTTCTGTCTGTGCGGTTGGCAATCTGTTTACTGGAAGTGCTGCTCACTCTGAGCACATGTTGCTGCATGTGCAGTCAGTCAGTGAGCCCCAAGAAGACTTCAGAGTTACAGCTTGCAGGGGCAGAGAAAGTGTTTTTGTGGAGGTTGTGGCGGGCGTTTGTGTGTATGTGCATGCATGTGTGTCTAAGATTTTGTTTGGAGAACTTAGCAAATAACCAGCAAAACCACACTAGAATCCTGTGCGTATGTGAGGTTCAGTGTGAGTTATATGAGTTTGCTGAGTCCAGATTTAAGCTCCCTTTCTGGGAACCAGCATTCCCTGCTCTTCTAAAGCGAGCTGTAGGAGACTGGAGGGCTTTGGGAATCAAGAGGCATGGGCTGGTTTCAGTATGTCCCAGGTTTGTCTATTGTACACAGCGAGTGGTAACAATGGGAGGGTTAAGTATCTGATATACACACCGAACCCTGGGACTCAGCTGCAAGTAATTAAAGCTGGCAGTTGGCAGAGAAGAGAGTCAGGCGACTGTAATGGCCGCTGTGAGTTCATACCATAATATTTGGATGATGAATCAAGCTGCTAGTAAAAGTGTTGTAATGCTGTTGACCCAAGGCTTTCTCCCCTAACCCAATCCTGTTGGCCGTGAGGGAGGCACAGAGAAGAGAGAGAAAGGCTTTGTACCACCCTGCAGGCTGTTGGTAAAAAGACGTGCAGTTTATTCCGTACACAACAACTTTTAGCTTTTACTTCAGTGCTCTCTTCTTTTTCTCCTTTTTTCCATTCGGTTTGGTCCTCCTCAATGTGTAATCAGAGCCCGAATTCACCATTTTAGCTTTCAATAATTCATAAAGAGAAGATGTAGATCACATAGGGCCACTATTTAACAGGACATTACATTTTTTAATTGTTATATATATATATATGTGGCACGATTCTTGCGGATGTGCAGCCTCTGGGAGAGTTTTGTAAAGTAAAGAAGATTAAGTATAAACCTGTTTGGCATCAGAAATGCAATCGTCCTGCATGTTTTTCAATGGACATCATTCTGCATTGCGATCATTATTTTGTCATTTATTAGGTTCGTTGCCAACTACCTCAAAGGTTTGTTCTTACACTGTTGTGACGTTATAATGTCATTACGACATCAACCTTAATAGAGCTTCTGAGAAAAGAATGACTCAATACAACATACACTTATGTCATTGAGCGGACATTTGTGAATCATAATTCTCATTTAATCAACAAAAGCTGTCTGGTTCATGTAAGTATGTCACCTTATTATTCTTTTTACATGTCCCATATCTCTCTCAACAGAATCAGCGTATGAACTTCTTCCCAAGGAGCTACAGTTGCCTTTCTCCACTCAGCAGAGCCCAAAAATCATGAGTCAAAAGAGCGGCGGAGAGGCAGGGCCTCCCCCTTCAGCTGCTGTTGCATCAGGTAGGATCCCACTCCTATTATTTGTATGTCTCCTCTGTGAGCAAGACGGACCCCCCAAAAAAGAAAGCAAAACAGTCTACATCTGTTGGCAAACAGACACCTGCATTTGACAGTCTGTTGCTCTATGATCCTCATGTCAGTCCCAAAAACTGAAAAAAACTACTGTGTAAAAAGGAAGTTGCATAATTGGAGTAAAGTCAGCTCAAAATGCCCCCCCGTCTGTACAGTATGTTCTGTAGATTGTGGTCACAAGTGTTGACATGCAGTCCATGCACTGAAGGTTTAGATACTATTTAGATTCCTCTACCTTTTTCCTTTGTGATCCGACTGTAACAAATATTAATAGTTTAAACCGCACACAGAACCCAATAATGATGAGAGAGCCCAACAGAGCTTAATATTGAAAGTGCTGCATACTCAGAACAAAATACTTGGTGGGATTTAATAGCTTTCTTTCATTTCTTAACTTTTGTTAGAGAATTAGGAAGCTTTGAGTGGCTGTAATCACCTTGTTGACCATTTTGCATTTTCAACGTGGAGTTGTTGAGAAAACAGTCAGTGAAGTTCAAAAGTCCAATAAATCCAATTTAAGGTGTGGTCGGTTATTGTGGTTGATAATCTGGTTTAAAACTTCCGAAAAGAGCTAACATCCTGATTATTATGCTTGCAGTGTGGTCACATAAGAAAGGCTCATTTACAACTTTAAAATAGTGTCAGTATCGTGTTATGATCGGACAGTATTTTTTTAAACAAATATTTTACCGTTGGAAAGGTAGGTTAGGCATTTAACTATAATAAGCAGTTTAATGCTGACGTAACAAAATGACAAAACAAGATGAGTGTACAGTGTTTACAGTATAGAAGACGTCTTAAGTTAGGAAAGGAAACTGAGCCTATGTCTCTGTCAGAAAATGGTCAAGAGACACTAATTCTGCGTCAACTCTCTTCAATTTTTCATTTGACCTTTCACATTTTCATTGTGACTGCTTGGCCAGCCTCCCAATTGGCAAATGATTAAAGGAAAAATAGGATGTGTGATAAAGGGTAGTAATCCAACAGTTTAGTGGACATACATGTCCGCAAACGTAAAGGTTTAGTCAAAATCAATTAATTGTAGAGAGATACTGTTATAAAAAATATATTCTTACTTTCTGTCTTGAGCTCTCTTTAAAAGAAACATTATTCTTTTCATTTCCCCAAATTCCCAAATGGTTTTCAGAAGAAAAGCTTAAGATTTAAAATATCAAAAAATAAATGACAGTTTGCTTCACTGTAGCTGTTTTGCTCTGCTCCCCATTGCAGCATCAAGGCATTAGAGTGAGTTTCAGTAAATCCATGGACTTCAGTGCTCCATTACAGCCACTTGCAGCGCTCTGCAAGTGGCTGTAAGTAAACTATAATTTTAAATGAAAACTGCAAATAACATCATCTGGCTTTTATGTCTTTGTTAATGTTTCATTTCAAATATATGTTTCTTTAAACATACTTCTCATTTATAAATATTGTGCTTAGCAACACAGGGTTTCAATCATTTGCAGCACTGCTAAATACAAATAGGGTATATTGCAAAAAAACATTCCACCTCTCAAGAGCAGAAATAGCACTGGACATCCAATGTAATTCAAGTATTTGGTCTTATATTTAAGTTGCTATTGTAGGTTTTGTTGGTCTCTGATCATGTATATGACTTTGTGTTTTGATACTTGCTCAAAATGACACTACCTTCATTCTTTTTATGTGCCTCTTTTTCTTTACGATTGTGTGTTTTGCAAACTAATGAGTCACCAAACAATGCAGAATGTCAACAGCAGTCTAACTCCTTTTTACTATCTGCAACTTAACCAGACTTTTCCCCACTCTTCATCTAGTTCAGTATAACTATTTGAATGCTTTTGAAATCACAGTGTATGTCAGCATGCTGGAGCAACAGTTTTGAAAAACAAAAATACCCTGTGTTATTTTTCTTAAAAAAAATTTGAATAAATTTTAACTCCTATTGCTCATTCCCTGTCTCATTTTTATATTCCAGGAAGTTCCCTCTGAAGCAGGGAGTGTCTGCATATAAAATGGTCTGCAGTTCTCTGCTTCATAGGTCAGAAGCTTGTTTATTTTGTCTCTGTGGCTACGTTCAGTCCCAACTAAATGAACCTTTGTAGCAGAAAAAAAGAAAACAATTAAAAGTAAAAGCTCCGAAAAATTGGCATGCTACATATTTGTACATATAACTGTTTTGAACTTGCCTCTCCATTTCATCATTTTGGCAAAGTTTTTAGTTGAACACGAACAAAACGCTAATATTAATGATAAATTAATTCCGTTTTTTGTTGCAAATTAGTTAATCCACAAGCAGTTTTTGTGTACATTTTTTTCTAAATAAGGGGCATGGTTTTCTTATCCCGTTTTTTGCCCCTTTTTAGCCGCACCGATACTGCGCTTCACATACTGCACATTTACAAATCCTCAGACATCGCCAGCACCACAGACACACACATTCAAGATCCAATGAAAAGGGGGAGATTTTAATTGGATGAATCTAAAATTGCTAAAAAAAGAAAAACAAAAAAGGCAATAAACCAAAGCAATCATGAAACAAATTGCTGCTTAAATGGGACTGCTAGCCAACACTGGTTGAGAGGCCTTTATTCACTGTCTAATTATTTGCACTGTAGATGCCATGTCCTCCTCTGTGACCATGGAAGGCCCCCGCAGTGCTTTTCCCACCTCTTCCAGCCCCACCATGCATTCCAGCGCTTCGGCCACTGACCAGAACGCGGTGCACGGCGGCAATGTTGACCCGGAGGACTGCAGGAGTAGCAGAGTGGTTCCAGAGGTTGTGGGAGCAGAAGGTGGGAATGGCAACAGCAGCAATGGTGGTAACTGCAGAGGCTGCAGTGAGCAAGGAGGAGGAAGAGGAGTAACATCCCAGGAGGCACAGCTACATCACCAGATGACCCCATCGAAGCGCCGCACCGTACTGAATATTTCGCCGCCTCCGCAAGACCTGTTTGATACCAGCCAGATGTCCTGCCAGGATGAAACATCCCTGGACTCAGAGCAGAGTAACAGCATTTGGATGGAGGACTCTCTGTCCAACTTTAGCATTATGAGCACTGTCTCCTACAATGACAACACAGAGGTGCCAAGGAAGTCCCGCAAACGTACCCCTCGGCAGAGGCCTGGTCCCAAGTCTCGGCCAGCAGGGGAAACCAGCATGGACGTGTTTGATGCAGACAGTGCCAAAGGGCCACACTTTGTCCTGTCACAGCTCGGCCCTGACAACAAGACGGGATCCAAAGGAAGGTTTGTAAGACGCATAGTTTTACTTGGTATGATATACGATCACGTTCGATGTGTAAGATTCTAGTGTACATGTCATGCTCCTCTATATCTTTGACAAAGGATGCTATGATTGTGTACAGATGGTTGAAGGAATTGGTCAATTACAAAAGAAGGAGTTTTAAGGTAAAACGTAAGCACAGCACAAGCTTGCAGGTTAAAGTGTCTGAAACTCTACTGGAGGATTATAAGGATGGTGGTAGAGATCATTCTAAAACAATGCTCCAAAAACTCTAGATTGTATTTAACTGGAATCACATCTGGTGACTGGTAAAGCCATAGCTATGACTTTTGTGCTCATTAGATAAATAATGTCTTCAACATTCAATCAACCAATTCAGTGGAGTCCCCTGCCTTGCATGTAAACATCTGCATGTATTGTGTTTCCTCACTTAAGAAAACAAGGACTCCACTTAATGCAGGATGTTGCTTGAGTAGTACATTGATTTGTATGCATTTAATATTCCCCTAGCGCTAACTTTAAGCTCTTAATTAAGTAATTCATTTTGTTACCATTGTCCGAAGGGCCCTTGTGGATAATCTCATAGAGCACTCATCAGTATAGGCATTATTAGGAAATCACTCATGGCACAAACGGATGGAAATCTTCAGCAAACTACTGTGGCTCTAAATTTCCCACCACCCTTTGAATGAAGAAGAGCGGTCAGATCAGAGGAGAGGGAGAGGCAGGATACTGAAGTACAAACAATGGTCGGCCACAGTGAATCAGAGCCTCGCTCAAAGACCTAGGATAAGCAGAGCCGATTAAATAAACAGATAACTCTGAACGCTTTAAGAGATGGGCATTGAATATGCCTGGTTGATGCTCAAAGCATCTTGGGGGCTGGAGGGTGAGTGGTTTCTGAATAAATAGGGACATACGTAAGTTGCATTCATCCTAAACATCTTCCACCACAAAATGTGAAGATGCCAGCCAGGTTGCACTAATTGTTTCAAATATTTTTATTGAGAAGAAGCATACAAGTGTAATCAATAGTACAGACTTCTTTGGGGTGGAAATTATGCTTCTCTTTTTCAACATAGAAGACAAACAGAACAGCCAACAAGAAATAATAAAGAAAAAACATAGCATGACAGGAATACCATACTTAATCTGCTGGTGTCTCTGTCAAACCGAATCTTCGTTGCAGCTCTGATGATCCTCAGACAACTCACCACAAAGGAGGCGCGCTGTCGATGCAATTCCCACAGAAGAGTGAGGGGAAGGAGCTGAAGATCGTTGTGCAGCCGGAGACTCAGCACCGAGCTCGATATCTGACTGAAGGCAGCAGAGGGTCCGTGAAGGACCGCACTCAGCAGGGCTTCCCTACTATTAAGGTAACTTTTAAACCTTGAAACAGCCTCCAAAATGAACTCTGTAGTCAATGCCTTTACTTAAGGTTAATGGTTGGAGTAATGTCAGGGGCTTTGAAATATGTTCCTGAAAGATTTGCTATTTTAAGAGCCATAGGAGCAGTGGGGCAATAAAAAGGTTGAATATGCTCATGGTAGAATAATTAAGGTCACAGTGTAAAAACAACTGTAAAAGAGTCTTTTTCTGGAGACCAATATGCTCAATAGGGAAGACCTAATCACGTTTCATTTCCAGCCCAAATGGAGACTGGTAATATAAATTGCTTGTAAATGTTGTACTATATAAGTAGAGAGAAGTGGGTCCTGTTCCAAACATTAAACATATACTTCATGTTTCACTTGGACTACCACCTGCATTACTTTTGAGTTGTGGTGTAAGGTGTTTCTACAAAAGCTTTATGGCAATTACCTCGTTATATTTTGTATATATATTATTTGATTATTACCAATGTCAGTTTTTTGTATCCTGAGGTGATTTGGAGATGAATCTGGGCCCAGAGCATTGTGTGTGCTACTGAATAAGTTACTGTTTATACTGTCAGGGCTTGTGAAGAGCAAGAGGATCCTGATGTAATAATATAATGGTCAGACAAGGTAACATCAGAAGGTAGCAAACACATGTCTGCTTTTAAAAGGCTGACTCGATTGCACAAGAGGGTAAGCTGGTAAACAAACTGAGAATACAGGACACAAGAGGCTGAATTGCTAAATGAGAACATGTATGAATGCACTCTGGGTGCATTTGCTGGACAGGTAGATAATCATCTGTGTGAAACATGTTTGATGGTCCTATAATTTGTCTTTTGTTGTTCCTCATACAGCTGGAGGGAGTGAATGAGCCAGTGGTTTTGCAGGTGTTTGTGGGTAATGACACCGGGCGCGTTAAGCCTCATGGTTTTTACCAAGCGTGCAGGGTGACCGGCCGCAACACTACCGCCTGCAAAGAGGTGGACATCGATGGCACCACTGTCATCGAGGTGTCCCTGGATCCAAGCACCAACATGAAACTAGCGTAAGCCATTTTCTTTTACATTAAAAGTGGGTTGTTTTCTTCTTCTTTTAATATATTATACAACAAATAAAGTGTTCTTTGTTTGTGCCCTTCATATATAATTCAAACCAATTGCTTAATAAAGCAACTGCATAACCAGGCAAATCATTTATTATGACACACTTTCAAGTTGTTTAAACTCACATGGCGTCTCTGTGCAGGGTGGACTGTGTTGGGATCTTGAAGCTCCGTAACGCTGACGTCGAGGCTCGCATTGGTGTTGCGGGATCAAAGAAAAAGAGTACACGTGCACGGCTGGTGTTTAGGGTCAACATCCCCCGTGCAGATGGATCAGTGCTCACTCTGCAGACCCCTTCTTCGCCAATCCTGTGTAGTAAGTCTGTCCCCTTATATTTCTCTCTGTGGAAATGCTGTTAATGCTGTTATAAATAAAGGTATAAGAACTGTTTCACTTGAAGGAAGAGGCTAAATAGACAGCTGACCTGTAATCAATGTGTACCTGTAATCTTCTGTTTATAATGTCTCAGCCTATGATGTTAATTATTATAGGCTGAGCTTTTAAAAACAGAAGAGGTCCTGTTTCCGAAGCTGAATCCTGCCCGGGGTCAGGATAATTCGTCTTTTTAGGACCACATTTGAGGAGAGTGTGTACAGAATCCCCTCAGAGTCGAGTGTTATGTAATAATGCATACAGTATGAGGGTGTGGTTGGTTTCATAAACAGTTAAGACGCCTAAGGCTATGATAAAGTTTCTGTGTAAGAGGATTTGGATTAGGGAGAACTGCTGCGAGAGAGACACAGGGGAGAAAGAGAAGGAGAGGATGAAACAATAGAAGTGTGAGGACCTCTATTGTGTGCACAGAGCTAGCGTGCAATCCAAGGAAATATGTTTACAAAACCCCCCAGAAATTGCAATCCCCCCTGGCATCCAGAATACTAAAAAAGATTTGGGAAATGTTGGGCTGGATTTGAGCTCCAAGATTGTTCAAAGTTGTTATTGCCCTTTTCAAGGCCTGTGAGATATAGCCAGTATTTAAGTTCTATGAAAACACATCAAATCATCCGATTGCATACAGTTCTTGTATAAAACATTGAATTTAGTTTAGTTTAGTCTTATATTGCAAGTCTGTTTTTGTATCAGATTACAGGTTGTCTGGAGACATAACACAAATATAAACTACAGTGGCAGTTTAATCATTTTTCAAAGTGTTGTCAGATTTTTTTGTTATCCAATTATCATCAAATGTATTACTTTGCAACATTTTTAACATCATACATTATTGGTTAAAACACATGTAATCCAATAGGCTCTTTTTAATAAACCTGGGTATGTTTGATGAACAATAATAAGTGACCCAAAATATCTGCTCTGTTTACAGCTCAGCCTGCAGGAGTGCCTGAAATCCTGAAGAAGTCACTACACACTTGTTCAGTGAGAGGTGGAGAAGAGGTCTTTATTATTGGCAAAAACTTTCTTAAAGACACCAAAGTCATATTTCAGGAGAATATCTCTGGTAAGAATTATTATTTTTCATAAAACGATTTTCTTCCATACATTATTGTCCTCCAGTAAACATGGCATCTTCTCTCTGTTCCAGACGAGAAATCCTGGAAGGCAGAGGCTGAAATCGACATGGAGTTGTTTCACCAGGTAAAATGCGATTGCTCTTGTGTTATTTTTGTACTGAATGATTGATTCGATGACTAATCAGCAGAGCAGATAGAAGCAGTCCTTTCAGATTTGTATGGAGCTTTAGATGTAATCATCTTAAATGTGCTGCCCGTTCAAAGGTTTGAGTAGTCTCATTGTGCTCTGACCTAATTACACTCATTCTGAGAGGCTAAACTGAGTGTGTCTCAACAGTCCAGTTTAAACCTTTGCCCCTGATAAACAAAATGGTCCAAAGTAGATGAGTTGATGAATCTGTAGCTGATAGTAAATGCTCTAAACTCATTGGATGTAATTTAGTTTTTTGTTAAAGATACTGTTTTTTTCAAGCATTCCCAGTGTTGTTTGGGTTCATTGTTTCTGACTGGGGTGTATCTGTGGTGTAACAAACATATTGAATGCATTTCCTAACTAAAAAACATGTCAGCACTGTTGAAGTTGGCTAATGGCCTTTTTTATGAGGAAATGCTACCATTTTCTAAGCTTTGCTGCCACCTGTTGATATGAGAGAGTAGGTCAATATGGCCATATTTGGTTGGCCCAATCACAAAGTGAGAATATTGGGATTATATGAACTACATGATGATAATAACTGATTTGCATTTTAAGAACCATCATGCAAAAACCTTAGATATTTCCCTTTTAATAAATAATTAATTTACAAGACAAATCTTTATACCTTAATGCAGTCATCACTGTGTGACTCTAATCTTCTCATTCTTTATCTCCACTACAGTAAATGCTGTATAACATCCTGCAGTCACAGAAATGTGTATTGCATCACCCCTATGCCCATGATTGTTAGGGAACAAGATACAAACAAAGTGTTGACCTGCTCGTTCTCATATTGCTTTTCCATATATTGTCAACATGCTCTTATCAACCCTTTGAATCATGATGCTGTTAGATCAACTGTTTTCATTACTTTTTGCTGACTTTTCTTTAATGATGGCCCCTCTATAGAATCATCTGATAGTGAAGGTTCCTCCGTACCAAAACCAAGCCATCACCTCCCCTGCGTGTGTGGCAATCTATGTGGTGACGAATGCTGGGAGATCCCATGATGTTCAGCCGTTTACCTACACTCCAGATTCAGGTTCGTTTTCAATTTCAGTTGATTTACTAAATCAGGCAACGTTTTTCATCTGGCTTTGTTGATAGGCCACTGATGGGGAGACCATGTCTTATTATACTATAGCATGTGAACTTGTGATTACTATAACTATTTATATTAATTATTGACTATACTTGTTAGAATTACTGGGTGGCACCACAGCTAGCTCAGTCAGTTTCTTGAGAACACCACCACTTACAATTTCATAGGATCAGAACAAATATTAGCAATCATTAGCAATATATTTCAAGTGCACAAAACACAGCCCATTTCTAAACAGGAATCCAAAGTCATCCATCTTCAACACTCTTTCATCGGCACTCTTTGATTGTAAGGTCTGCAAAAAACGCTACTCATACTAAACTTTGAAAGATGTGCTCATCAAAGTAACCAAATTATTATTTGGAACTGGTTGTTGTGGTTGTGTGGGCTCAAAGAGATAAAACTCTGTTTGTGTTTTTCCTTGTAGCAATAAATGATGTTGCCGTGAAGAAAGAGGCGCCTTCTCCAGTGAATACTTGTTCATTTGATGAAGGTTTTTATTCCTTTGTTAACTTTTTCACAACCATGATCGTAGCCTACTATTTGAATGTGTTTCTGAGATACTCACACTGTTCTGCCATTTGTTCTGAATGGCTGAATGAAAAGCACAAGAAAACATTTTGAAATGATTTCTTGATCTTGCTCCTACAGTTGTAGATGACGCCTTGATGCCTTCAATGTTGCCTTTAGTGAAGCGAGAAGATGTCACTCCGATGGAGGTCACCAGCAACCTCCAATCTTCTGGTGTATTTAAGGTATTATATTCATCTGACACTTCATTAACCGCCTCATTAATACCTTCTACATCAACACATTAAAGTATTTGGATATTTCAGATTATATTAATGTTAAGTAAAGTAACATCTATTCGATACTTTATTATTTAGTCTATAAAAGAAGTGTAATTTCATGTTACAGATACATATTTTGTGAACATATGTCATGAACATTTTTAAGTGATTTTTAGATATGAAAAAAAAAAAAAATACAAGTCAAAGATGTCAGACAACAACGTGGACACTTTGACAATACAACTAAAATAAAGCAATCTAAAAGCAAATTAAGCACACCTTTTATTATCTTTTATTTTGTGTTTTCAGCAGACAGGCGACCTGTGTCCAGCCCAGCAGAACCCAGACATGACTGCAGGACATCTGAATAAAAACAGAGCGTTCTCCAACAACCTATCTCAGCCCGCAGGCGACCCTGACAAAGGCCAGGCTCCTGTCTTTCCCAACACAGAGCCCTTAAGCACGATCCAGAAGCAGGACATTGCACCCGCCAGCTCTTTCTCTGTGCCCGCCGACTCTCTGCTGCAACAGGGACCCCAGCAGTTCCTCCTGGAGCCCAGAGAGGGCCTCGGGCAGGAGAGGCCCGGTAACGGCTCTGGATCTGTGGGGAGGCTGTGTGGAGAGCCTGCGCCTCAACAGCAGCAACTCCCAATGTTCCCTCCAGACGAAGTAGCCCAGCTGGAGGAGGCAGTGAGGCAACTGAAAGCCAAAGGGTTCTGTAACCTACCACTTCAGTCTGACAACTCAATGGCAAAACAGCAGCAACAACACATCCAGCACCAGCAACAGATCCAAAAACAGCAAATTCAGCAGCAACAAATCCAGCAACAACATCTTCAACAGCATCAGCAGCAACAGCAGCAGCAGCAGGTTCTGGAGAATCTACAACAGCAGCTGTTTCAGTCACAGATCCAGATGCAGTGCGGCATGTTTCAGGAGCCCCCCCAGGCCAAGAACGCAGAGCAGCAGGGCCCCTCACAAGGAGTGGTGACAAACCAGGGGACTCTCTTCCAGCAGGCCCAACAGCAGCAGCAGCAACAGCAGCAGCAAGCAGCTCTCTTTCAGCAGGCCAGTGACCTGCTCTCTATTCAGACCAACTTCCTCCAGCAGTCACCCTCACACCCTTCCCCACCCATGTTTCACAATCCTAGTTCTTTGGCAGAATCACAAGACCCTCAGGGGGGGTTGTTTCAGAAAGCCTCCCAGGAGCAGGTCCAGGCCGCTCTTTTTCAAAACACCATGACAGTTCTACAGTCTCCAGACCAGCAGCCCTCAACCCCGGGACTTTTCCTCCCTCAGACATCCCTGCCCTCTCAGCTTGCAACCAGTAGTGCTCAACAGCAGCAGCAGCAACAGCAGCAACAACAACAACAACAACTGGCCTTCCTCACTGCTCTACAAACGCCTTCCCCTGAACCACAATCAGTATTTCAGGCTCAGGCCCAGCTTTCCCCCATCCAACAGAGAAGCCCCATGGAGCAGCAGCAGCCCCCCCAGCCTCAGCCTCACACACAGCCAGCCCAGCAGGCCTCGCTGTTTCAGAACATCACACAGCATCCATCTTCAAACACACTGTCTCCAGGTCAGCAGCAGCAGCAGGCTGGCCTACTGTTCTGCAACAGCCCTCTGTCCTCTCCAGATCAGGCCTCCAGCCTCCTGTTCGGCAGCCAGGGCCAGATGCCCCCACTGACTAGCAGCAGTCTTGTTTCCCAAGAGCCCCAAAACCCCTCAATGCTCTTTTCCCAAGCCAGCATGGTGGCAGTTAACCAGCAGGACCGCTCTGAGCCCATGGCCCTGGGGAACCCCACAGATCGACGGCAGCAAGTCATGTTTCAGGAGCAGCAGCCGATGCAGCTGGGCAGCAGTTCAAACAGCCGGCAGGAGCAGCCTGTGGGCCTCTTTATGCCTCAGTCCAACATGGGGTCTCTGCAGGGGGGGCTCGCCGCTCAGGAGCTCGCACAGTCAGCCATGTTCGCCTCGCAGAATGGCGTGGCTAACCTCCAGACGACCACCTCGTCGCCTGTTCAACAGCCCGGGACGCTGTTTCAGAGCGCTGTGGGCGGGAGCATCAATCAGCCCAGCCAGCCGCAGCAGCAGCCTGGCCTCTTCCTGTTCGGAATTCAGAACGGTAAGGAATTTGTTACAAAGGTGAATACACTAACAAACTGAAGTACGTTTACACATTAAAGGTCACCTATTATGCAAAATCTACTTTTTAATCTCTTTTATACATAAACATGTGTCCCCTCTGTGTAAAGAGAACCTGAAAGTTTCAGGAGAAAAGATTCGCTCACTTTTTGTCCTGATCCATTTATATAAAAACCTCTCTGAAAACGCGCTGATCAGATATTGGCCACTTTATGATGTCATAACGATTTTTTGGCTTGTGTAAGCATTAGCCAATAACCAACCAAGGTAACCCCCCCCCCCCACCTTATCGCCTGAATATCCTCCTAGAGCACCATTGTGTTCTTTTTAACCAAATCTCTCTCAGAGGGGCGTGGGGAGGGGCTCCTTATTTTCATCTAAAGTAACAGACAGAGAATCAGCACTTTTGAAACAGGGCTGAAACAGAGGGGTTTATGGGATGCTACAATGCATGATCTGTTTGGTATTTCGAGCCAAACACTTCAGAGACATGTTTTGTATATATCTGAGACCTGGAATATATTGATGAAAAACAGTATAATAGGGGACCTTTAAAGAAACTTTGAACAATAAACTTACATTACAAACATACAATATAAGTGTGAGGTTTGTACACTCATTGTGTTCCCTTCTTGCAGAATGTGGCCAGCTGATGAACACTCCTGGGAACACGCTGTCGGATCAGATCATCGCCATCAGCCAGTCGGGTCAGAATCAGAGAGAGAGCGACGCACACATCCAGTCGCTGCTCTGCCAGTCTCTGTCTCAGAGCGGGCCGGTGCAGAACAGCATGAACTCCCCTCAGAACATGGAGAAGATCGACGACCTGCTGGTCAGCCTGCAGGAGTCGGGCAGCAACTTAACTCGTTCCTACTGACCTTCATACAGAATCTGTCTTTACTTTCATTTAGAAATTCTTGTAAAAATGTAGACAAAATGGTTAAAATACTGTCTGTTGATAAGCACATGCAGTAAATGATTTGTGAATTGGCCCTGCATTATGAAGTTTAAGACAAACAGAACATTTTCTTTATTTATCTTATTACTAAATATCCTCAAACACATTATTCTGTTTACTGCAGGACGGAGGATTTATTAAGAGCAGTAAAGGTGCTGCTGGCCTTTCTGAGCCAGTCTCCCTCTCCCAAAAAAAGTCCTCAAGATGAATTACTAAAGTGGCATGAATGATATCTGTTAACTCATTATTAAGGACAAACTGGACATATGAACTGTGAATTTGGTTTGTAATTTCTTGAAAAAGTGAAGGTCTCTTGTGGACTTTATGATTGACTGACTCTCCTTTGTAACAGACTTGAGCAAAATTAGATAGACTTCAGGCAAGAACAGACAAATTGTCGTTATCGTTCCTTGTGAAGAGAAGCATTGAAGTGGTCTTGTTATCATTTATCTTGTGAAGTTTTGAGTGTATCTGTAGATAGTTTGGCAGTGATTTTATCTGCTGAGTCTTTCTGTTCTCTAGGTGTTTTCTAAAGTGTTCTCCAAAGTGTTAAGTGGTTCCCATGAATAGTGTTCCCTTTGATACTAATTGTGTAGTGTTGTTACTTGGAAGCTAGAGTGTGCAGTAAAGCAGGAAGGTTTTGTATGTAGGGTTGAATAGATCAATTTTGTGAAAGGTACTCGCTGTTTCTCATGGTTGGAAAAGTTTTCACCCAACAGGGCAGAAAGTGTATTGAGGGAAGGTTAGAGAAGGCAGATTATAAAGAGGTAATGGAAAAGTAGAAAAGTGAACTACACAGGTCTGATGTGTAGTCACAAACACGTGTCTTTTATGTTGTTGCTGATTAATTTTAATGTTGTAGCAGCTATCGTGCACCTGAATATATAAATATACTGTTTCTGATAATCCAAAAAGTTACTTTATGGATATGAAAGAAACAGTGTGCAGGATGAGTATAACTACAGTGACGGTGCATTTTGTTGATATTTACAAGAGGCCTGGATAAACTAGATCTTGTCTTCTTGATGTCTGGTGTAGTAACACCTATAAAATGTGTAGATTAGCAAACAGCTGACGTTGAGGCAGTGCAGTAAAGGTGGTCACATTTGTTGGCCTTGAGTTTCTTTACTTGCTAGCAGTAACGTTAGTCTGACACTCCCATGTCTAACCAAAAGTCAAAGTAAACCTAATCTGTTGTTCCTCTTTTGAATGGGTGTGTGCTCTGGCAGGGGTGTTGGTGTAGATACGAAGAGGTATTTTGTAGAAGTGTTTAATTTGTCCTGGTGTGCCAAACAGCCTTTACCAACAAAATATATTTCTATATGAGCTACTTTACCATCTCTAGCCCAGTGTACAGATAGCACTCTGTGATATAGTAAGCAAACATGTTGAGGCTAACATTTAGTCTGCATTCATCAAACCAAACTGTGTCAGTTTGATACTTTTAACAACAGACTCTCCTTTTAATTCACAACAAAGAGAGGAATCTTTTAAGAAAAATAAAACAAATATTGGCTGATTTTTGTTTTTTTACTTGTAAATTCAGCACTTTAGGATGCTGTCCTTTGTGACCACTTTACTCATCGAGTGTACAGTACAGTCCCACGAGAGGTGGTGTGGGTTATTTCAGACGGGAAAAAAAAAAGTGGCTTTTTTCCCCAATAATCTATTTCACGTGACAAACAACTCGTATTCAAATACAACTACAGGAGAGAGATAGTAGGATGTAATATCGTATATTGTTATTGTGTGATTTAGTGTCATTTTAATGGCCTCATTCTGCGTCAGGCACGCATTACTGGAATAGTATTCTTAAACCAGCTAGAAAAGAGCCTTTTTAAACAGTTTATAACAATGTGAGTGTTGAGGAGAAGCAACAGTTTGTTGGATACAGCTGTACATTGTACATCTCATCCAGGTTAAGGTATTAGCATGCAGTAACAGAGCCGATTTTACACGTTCTCTTGTAAATGCAGTCGCCTGCCGTTAGCCAGCGGCCTCAGGACCAAAGTTTGACTCAAATGTTGCTTTGCATAAGTCCTGACAACAGGCCGGTTTTATGTCTCATAAGCTTTTTCACTTAAGAAGCACATGAACATAGAGCATCATTATCATCATTATAAGGCCTGATGTCCTGCTGCCACACTTTTCTTTCTGTTTGTGTGTTTGTTGTCTTTGTGTCATGATTAGTTTCACTGTATGCGTGAACAAGGGGCTGGTCTCTGATGATGACAGAATTAGTTCAGTTTTATGATTGTCTTGTTTTTATGTGTACAGTTTGTTAGAAACACATTAACACCGTTACATTTGATACACCTATGTGTCAGAAACAGCTGTTTTATGATGGATAATATGTCAAATTGACTAATGTGATTTGAGGGTTTTAGCGGTGTGAGGGGTTTTTAAAGGGACCCTACTCCTGAAGGAAACCTAACTTTGGAGAAAAGAGCTATCTGCGATTGGCTTTCTTCAACTCGTGAAATAGAGGAACTTAAATTTCCAGTGTTGAGTATTTATGACTTCATTTGTTTTTGTTTTACAAAGTTTAGATCTTCTTTTTTTAAATATGTGTAGTACCCGTGCCTCTCTTCAGAGAATCATTTGTAATTTATTTGTGTGTTGTTCATTATATATTTTTCTTCCCTTAATCAGTTGTGTTCAGATATTTTATAACTGTATTAATGGCAGCAATGTGATTTGCCCCACCTCCACACACACCTTCTGATACTGTAGCTGGCCCCTTTTGATGATGGTGGTAATGTCTTTAAAGAAGATTGTACAAAATAAATGTATATTCCTGTGCACAGTTACTCCTTTGACTTTTATAATTATATACACTTTATTGTACATATCATTTGCTTGTAATTGACTACAACACACTGGCCCTGTTGTCTTTTTTGACCAAATAGTGAAACTCAGACAAAATCAGAGATTCTTCAAAACAGGACTAACAAATGTCAGTATTTTACTACAAATATGTGAATGTGATTATACAGGAAGGCTGCAAATGTTTCACTTTGATCCAAAATGTTCTTTTATACACATACTGTGGATGTAATTACTTTTTAGAAATTACAGTTTCCTCATTTGCGTATATTTACATAAACTGGATTTCTCATATTTCCTTAAAATGCTACTAACTTTCTCTGTTTCTTGCAAAAGAACAACTGGTTTATCTTAACATTACCCATTAATTGAATATCAACACACTTAATCTGCTATCACAGGTTGACAAACTGTTTTGATTCAATGTCACTTTAGACACCGGAAGATATTGTACATGTGCCTTGAGGAGATGTTGTAGTTTCAACCAGATTGATGTTTTATCATTGTTGCCTGTTAATACCCCACTGGTTTCTCCAGATGATGATTAGTCCTCATTTACTAGAATGTTTTAAGCCATAAGACTTTAAATGTACTTTAATTGCTCCACAATAGTGACCAGATAAATGTGGTTGTGTTTGATAAACTTGTCGTGCAATTTCGGTTTCTGTTCTGTATGCATCCAACTTGTTTGTACTGAAGTATCCATTGCATTTATGTTATACAACGTAGATGCAGATATTGTTTTCCCTGAAACTGCTATGCAGCTAATATACTGTAAATGTAGAACTGTTAGTTATTGAATATATATTTTTCTAAATAGCATCCCCTGTTTCAGCATAAAGGGGAAACCAAAGTAGATGTTCTTTCTATTATTTATGTTGCTTTTTGAAATATTTTCTGATGCCTTGAGTGCCGCCTGAAACCGTTATAAAGTCAGTCAAAATGCAAATGTCTCTTCTCAACAACCATCTCCGACCTGAAACAAGGGTCACTAATTGTTTTTAATACTTTATTGCCTTATTGCTTTTTGGGTTTTTTGTGGATCTAGGCTTACTGTTTACTTGTACAGTGGTTCCTAATCTGTCTGATTTCTCTTTGGTCTCTGAGTGGATGTCATGGCGTTCTCAAAGTAAAAGTCAATTAACATTCAAATATACTTTTCCTGTAATTTAGTTAACAATGGGATTTGCAAATTGTGCGTACTTTCATGTAATTGGTCACTTATATGTTCAGAATCTGGTATTATTATTTACCAAAGTTCCCCACATACCTGTAAGATCTTTAAAGTCTCTTCACTCCCAACACAAGTGAACCACTCTTCTAGTAAACAGCTTATATTTGGTCCTAGAAAAAGCAAAGGGGGGCGTTACGTTTTTACCTTTTTGTTTCTAACCATGTGAACAACTGTCAAATAATCACCCTTGGAAAACCAATATATTTTCTTTGTGCTTTTGTTGGAATGTTTTACTCTCTTGCAAATTAAGTTTCTGTTAACTTGCTGCTATCTATATTAAACATATATACTTTAAATGTTTGACCTTTGAGCTTCTTTTCATGTATTTTGCTCGAAGCCGTACAAATTGAGACACATGTGCTTCTAATTTTAGTTTTTCCGGTACCAAAGTGACCATCTTCAACTGAAGTTACTTTGTCCCCGGTTAATGGCAGGTGGTATTTCTTTTTTATACTGACATTGGTTTCACAGAAGTGCATACGTTTATATGTCATATCTACACAGAGCAGACATTGTGTAAAGACACAATGTAGTCACTTGATTACAGCTTTAATGGAGACTCTCTGCTCCTTGACCCTGGCTTATTTTTCGGACACCTTGTCGGCTTTCATTTGTCTCTTCAGCTCACTGATATGAAAGAGGGGTCAAAGATGAGACATAGGTTAGATATTATAGTTTAATGTCAATGATTAAACTAAAACTTGAATTGCCCGGATGCTCAAGTGCACACACATATTAGATTTTCCACATAACCACGCATTTAACTCTATTCTGGGGTTTATATCAATTATTCTGGTGTTTATATAAATAACCAAAAACATAGAAGTCCACAGAGAGAAACAATTATGCAGAAAGGGAAAGGGGACCATGACAAAAGGTTGGTTGTTTTTCTCATTGGAATGGAAAAGCCACCAACCTCTTGTCACCTCTCCAACAGATCCCGTACATGTGTGCATGGACTGCAGCTCTACATGGGGATGCACATTTTAACCACTGTCCCCTGACCGCAAAGGCCTGGCACAGCTGCTGCCCGGCTGCCCTGACCAGGCACAGCATGCTGAGCGACCAGTCAGCGGACAGACCTGAGAAAATAGATATTTATTCAAAGCAGTGTAGCTCACAGCATGTACAGAAAAGGGCTGTTTGGCCCACCAGGACAAATTAAACACTGCTGGGATAAAATACCTCTTCTTATCTACACCAACATCCCAGAGCACACACCCATCCGATAGGGGAACAACAGATTAGGTTTGCTTTTACTTTTGGTTAGACAGGGAAGTTTCAGACTAACGTTGCTGCTGTGCACTTGATTACAGCTTTGATGGAGACTCTTAAGGCACATCCTTAACATTATTTAAACATATGAAACAAACGTGCAGTTGAGGAATTCGCAGCAAATGTCCCTTATCTAAAGTCGTATCCCTTTGACTCTAATTCCTTATAGGCAATACAATATGCCTTCATAAAGGTTTCTGTTATAATTGAACAGAAAACCTTTGAAAATCATTCGGCCATTCGGCGGGGATGTCCAATCACAGAGAATTATAGCCTTATAAATGCTGACTTTACAACGTTATTGTTGGGTGTAGAGAACTTAAGGGTTGAAATAAATAACAGGACAAGATGTTGTAAGTCTTTGTGCAACATAAAAAAAAATCAAAAACTTAACTTTGACTTTATTGAACTTTAAACTGTAAACCAAGTTATGACAGTTTTTGGAGAAGAAAATAGGATTATTGTATTGCTTATTTAAAATATAATAAAACAGTTTTAAGTCGTTATATCTAGCTTTGTGTTTATCAGATGTATTATAAGGTAATTATCCGGTAAATAATCTATAATGTTATAATGTTTGCCAATACATTTATTTAAACCACAATTCCCCATGAATAAAAGGAAGACAGAGTCAATATTATGAATAATAAAACAGGGCCAAAACAAAAACAAAGAAATATTTATGAAAGTACAACCCAAAATTAACAATTTACATTAAAGGTCCCATGTCATGCTTTTCCGGTTATTACCCGTCCCCTTGTGTGTTATGTAGCTTTTTATGCATGTAAACGGTCTGCAGAATCACAAACCCTCAAAGTACACCCTGTAGCGAGTAAAACTCTAACACAGAAAAGACCTGTCTATGCTGCCCCAGAATGCCTCGTTGGAGATTTCTCTTTTTCTTCCTGGGTACAGTGACGTATTTGGGTACAGTGACGTTACATTTGGATCAATCCGCGGACTTCCTCACACACACACACTCGGCGGGACGTTGCGAGGCTCGCTGCTGCGAGGAGCGGACAGTGTGAGCTGGCTCACTGGTGTGGGGTCGGCGAGACACCGCGGAACTCAGCCTGAGCACACACACAAACTCCCAGCCAGGCTGCGGGTGTGTGTGTGTTTCGGGCTGGGTTTCGCTGTGTCTCGCTGTCTCGCAGACGGCCACTCGGGCTCACAGGGAGGGGGGGGACAGAAGCTCCAACAAGCCGTTTAGGACAGAGTGAATACGCATACTATACAGAGATGCTGTATGAGAAACCAATGTGAGTTTGGAAAATTGCACAATACAAATCTATTTTAGTATACCTCAACAATGGAATTATGATCAGTAGAAATGGCCATGACATGGGACCTTTAAAGGTGGGGTAGGTAATTCACTTCAGAAACACTTTTTGTTATATTCAATGGAATGCTCTTAACATCCCAATAGCAATGAATATATTAAATGCTTTGACAATAAATACATAAACAAATTGCATCTGTGAAAGCCGTAGCGCTGTAAAAAGCACGGCCAATCATTTTAGCCGGCCCGGCTAAAATAACTGGATGGCCTACCTGCCTGTCAGCCTTCCATCTCGTGCACAAACTTATCTCGTGCCCTCATTGGTCATGTGCGCGTTCATGTGTGTTGGAGGAGGGGCTCTGTAAGGAAGTCTGAAGGAAGAGGCAAGGCTTGTTTGAGATGAGCGAGACCGACGCAGACCTGCGCAATTGCGATCGCCGTCTTGCTCGTGCGTTGCATGATGGTTAGTCATTTTGTCCGACTTGCTCTGGAGGCTCGCCTACATGAGACGTTGAAATCTCGCGGGACAAAGACGCCTGCAGACTTGAGAGCGAGGCGGCTCAGTTTCTCTCCACGGCTGCGCAAGCGAAATGCTTGATGGGAAACGACTCGCTGGTATATCGAGCTGAGCGCTCATTAGCCGCTTTCACACCAAGTACTATAGCCGCTTTCACACCGAGTACTTTGCCGTACTTAGTGCCCAGCACTTACGGACCGTCCACACAGCAGCGCTAAAAAATCTTGGAACGCTTCTGCCCATTCACTTTGAATGGGGTGACGTCACTTTGCCTCACTTTTCGCCAAACTGCATTGTGGGCAGCAGAGCGGAGATTTTCAGGATTTTCAGGATTCAAAGTTGAGCAATGTTCAACTTTTGAAGCTGAGGTGGAAGCGTCAGCCAATCAAATCCCGTGTATGCAAATCTGACAGTTCAAGCGCTAGCCAATCAAACTGCGTGTATGCTGGGAGAGACATACCGCAGGTCATTTCCTCATATTCCAAAAAATGGAGGAGAAATTAGCGGTAGGGAATCACCCGGTGCTTTATGACCAGTCCCTATTTACCTACCGGGATATAAACCGGAGGAGCCAGGCATGGAGGGAGGTGGCAGAGACAGTGGTAGGTTTTCGCCTGTTTGGGGAGTTTATATCCAGTTTACTTCGGGCTTTTTTGCTTCGTATGTCGGGGGCAGGGAGATTTATGTGATTGGTTGTTGGTGCCTTGCTCGCAAAAAATCCCCAAGCTTCAGATACGCCCACCTCCAAGATTTTTTTAACGCTGCTGTGTGGACGGGCCGTTAGTGCCAGCACTTAGTACCCCCATGGAACTTAGTACAGATCGCGTTCACACCGGAATAAGTTCCCTGAGGGAAGATTATGCAAATGAAGCCGCTGACGTCACTTCTTCTTCTTCTGCTTTGGGTTTACTGGCAGGCCGCAAACAACTTCACGGCGTATTCTGCCACCCGAAGTTCCCGGCCGGAAGTCCCCAGAGTTGGGGACTGGCTTCAGTAGAAGCTGCTGGGACTCCCAGCAGCTTCTACTGAAGCCTTCCGAGTAAATCGCCAGAACGCCGACACCTCCTCATCACTCCACCGCTCCCATGTTTTTTTTTGTGTTGCCATAAGTTAATCTCTCTCCGTTGGTGCGTGGGGCTAATGCTAATACTAATAATGCTAATGCCAGCAAATACAATGGCGGCTTCACAAAACTTTTCAGAGTTTTACAGGGCGTGGTTTGCAATTCGCCCAGCCAATAGAAATTGGTACTTTTTTCTCCCCAGGATAGTACCACCTCTCTAGCAGGCACTAAAAATGGGGGTAAAAGTTCCCGGCACTAAGTACTCTTTTTGGTGTGAACGCAAAATAAGGGGTACTAACGGAACTAAAAGGGAAAAGTAAGGGGGAAAGCGGTGTGAACGCGCCTATTGGTATTTTTTACCCCGTGCTGGTGATGAAACTCAAATCCATTGGCTCGGAAAAAGTTTTTCGTTGTTTTGTGTCAGTTTTACGTCGCCACTTCCATTCACATTTTTCATCATTGTTCCACAATGTTTATCATCATGAAATTAGTGAGTTAGTGAGGGTACCGTGGGGTGTTATTAATGCTAGCTTGACAGTAGCAACGGCAGATGTACTTACCTTGTCTTCTTGCAAATGGATAATAAAGTGTGGAGTTCCATACTGAACACACCGCCTCTGACTCCCTTTCATCGGCTCTACAATACTATACTTGCACTGCTTACCGTTTTCATACTTTATATATCTTAGCATATTCATACACACTGTTCATACTGCTCACAGGCTGCTGTGTATATCTAGTGTATTCATACCCCTCACTGTTTATTCATCATTCAATTCATTCTATATTTTATTCTGTAGATTGTGTACATTACTTTTCACTTTACTGCTTTTTGCACTCCTGGTTAGAAGCTAAACTACATTTCGTTGTCTCAGTACCTGTAATCTGTGCAATAACGATAAAGTTGAATCTAATCTTGAGCAGGAACAAATGTATTTACTTAGTACATATCTGACATTAACGATTAAACACATTTGTGCATTCTTTATAAATGCAAACCGAGTCAAGCCGACTCCGGAGGTGGCGGTATGCACCTTAAAGTTGTTTGCAATCTGCCAAAAAACCGAGAAGAAGAAGAAGAAGAAGAAGAAGAAGAAGAAGAAGAAGAAGAAGAAGAAGAAGAAGAAGAAGAAGAAGAAGAAGAAGAAGAATAAGAAGAAGAAGAAGAAGAAGAAGAAGAAAGAAGAAGAAAGAAAGAAGAATAAGAAGAGACCTCCCCCGGCTGCAATCGGCTATTCTCGTCCTACTTTCAAGGCGCCGCAGCTCATCTCAAACAAGCCTGCAGATTTGTTCTGGTTGTGGGTACTTTCAAATTCTAAGCGCACTCGAGCTGGTTTCTCCATTCTTACTATACCTTTAACGCATTATTATAAAAAAACACGTATATATATAAAAGACTCGCAATGTTTTTGTTGTTCTTATATATAGCTTTCTTGTAGTTGTGAGTTATTTTCTCCTATGTTTCCAGTCTACTGATTGATGATTACAATGATTTAGCTCATTAGTGGCCTGACTGGCCCTCCTAATTTGGTCTAAAAAAAGTAAATGATGATAATTGTGAAGGGGTGTCCAGCAATCAATAATAATAATAATAATAATAATAATAATAATAATAATAATAATAATAATAATAATAATAATAATAATAATAATAATAATAATCCAGCAATCAATAATAATATGCCAAACTACTAATTTGAGATTCAGAAATTAGTTTTAAAAATCATGTTTTCATGTTATAGTAGGCCTACCTAACATCAACCTGTTTGAAACTTCGATGACCCCATGATGTGATTATTTATATTTTAAAACCTTTAACAACTATATTAAGATGTTCATAAATATCTACATTTATGTATAAATGCATATGTAGCAGTTAGACAAACATAATTATTAGATGATCTCATTAATACCTATGTTAGGCCTATATGTACTAAAAAAAAAAAGTTTTTTTTCCTTTTTGTTTTAATGTATTAATTAGACAAAATGATTTGTGCTGAAAGTCATATACTGTTGTGTCTCAAACGGATAGACTAGGTTATTAATTTATTTGCCAAATAGTTGCTTGAAATGCTACAATAACATTTGCAATTCGTTTCTGATTCAGC